TGCAGAATAACTTTCGATGTTTTCTTGCCATTTTGGAATCGATGGTAATGAATAAGTTAATGTTCGCTTCAAGAACGGAGCCTATGTCAAGCAGAAACTTAACAAGAGCAATAGCTTCCACCCTTTAAAGTTCTTAACCAATTTAACTTACAAACAGACTTTTCAGGCACAGTCGTTGCAAACATGTTGATCTTTCCTTAATATGTTTAACAAACAATAAATACGTAACACATGGACTGTATTCCTTCACTTTTATTTCATTACACTAATTATAAATAAGACAAGTTCCTGTACAGGTTCAGAAACTACAAATGAGACTGTTTTACGTGCATCTGGTAATGCCTCTTCATCTATAAGAATATTTTTAGACAAGGCAATCTCACTGCACCAAGAAGGACCATTCCACCACAATTGATGAGATAATAGTTCTGCAGGAAATAACCAACATGAAGCACAATCAGCTGGATTTCCTTTTCCATCAACATGATTCCAGTTCTCAGGTGGTAAGATGGATTGTATTTCAGAAACTCTATTGGATACGAATGCTTGCCATTTTTTAGGATCTGACCTTAGCCATGACAACACGATTTGTGAATCACTCCAAGCTTGCACTAAATCAAAATTTATAACTAATGCGGCTTTTACAGACTAAATCAAGCGTGCCAATAACACTGCTGCACATAATTCCAGTCTTGGAATCGTAATAAATTTTAATGGTGCTGCACGAGTGTTAGCTGTTACAAGTTTAACATTAATGTCAGAGTTATTGCAAGTTTAACATTAATGTCAGAGTTATTGCAAGTTTAACATTAATGTCAGAGTTATTGCAAGTTTTGATATAAATAACTGCTGCATAACCCCTTTCAGACGCATCCCAAAATCCGTGAAGTTCACATCGAAAATAATCAGATAGCAGAATTTTCCTAGGTATATTTATAGAATTCAGAACTTTAAATTCTCTACATAGACTTCTCCAATTTCGATCAATCTCTTTTGTACAGGATCATCCCATGATAATTGTAATTTCCACAATTGCTGAAGGATCATTTTAGCGGAATTACAAACTGAGCTATCACCCCCAATGGATCGAAAAGCTTTTGCTACGAATGACAAAATAATCCTTTTAGTCGGAATACTTTGATACTCTATTATTACACCGACATTACATTTGAATTCATCATTGTTCGGATGCCATTCCAATCCCGAACTTTCAAGGTTTGTCTTCTATTACACGATGAATACTGTCACTATCTGTTTGTTAAGCCAGAGGTTTTTAACAATGACGGTTCACTTGTCGACCATTGTGAACTCAAAAGCCACCACTTTTTAGCAGTTGTTGCAATTCGTCTATCAATGCAATACCTTCCGACTATCTTTTACCACCAGTTAACATATCATCAACATAAAATCTCCTAAAACTACTCTAAAATTCTTTGCCTTTGGAAAGTTCAATCCTTCATCATCGCTAACTGACTCAAAACTTTGGTTGCAAGATACGGAGCAGCTACAGTTCCATATGTAACTGTTTTCAAACGACAAACTTGTATTTGGTTATATGGGCTCTCTCCATAATATTCTCTGAAAATCTCTATCCTTTTCATGAACCTTTATCTGTCTGTACATCATTTTAATATCATCGGTTATTGCAATGTTATGAAGTGTAAATCTTAGTAAAATACAAATTAAGTCATCTTGTATTTTTGGACCTATCATTAGCATATCATTTAAAGAAACATCTGGGGTTGTTTTAGCAATCGCATCGAAAACAACTCTCAATTTTGTTGTTAAGCTAGAGTCCTTCAACACAAAGTGATGTGGGATATAATAGTGTTTATTCTCTAATTCATAATCTGTGTCTGGCACTAATTCTACGTGTTCTAGTGAAAAGTACTCTTTCATAATACTGAATATACTGGTTGTAAATTTCTTTCATAGATAACTGCCTCTTCTCCAAGTATTGAAATCTTCTGTGCGACATTTCACGGGAGTCACCTAGAATATCTCTGTTATGTTTAAATGGTAATGCAACTGAATAACGACCTGATGTATCTCTAAATTGCGAGTTTTTAAAATGTTCTTCACAAAGTTTTTCTTCATTTGTTAAAGGTTGCACATTTGGAAACTTTTCTAACTCCCAGAAAGATTTACTAACTCATCTGTCTTTGTATTCAAATGATTTACATATACTGGCTCAAAATTTGTAGATTCAAAATTTGTAGTACCCGAAATTATCCAGCCCAACCTCGAATTTAGAGCAAATGGTAGATCAGGACCACGTTTGACAATTTCTCCCGTCATTAAATGCAGAAATACATTTACTCCAAATAAAATTTCAACTGGTTGTGACTTGTAAAATAATGGATCAGTTAACTGTAAATCATTGAAGTTATCGGAGATGATTGATGGCAAAGATACATAGGAATGTTATCTGTCACCTTGTCCAGTACAAACGCTGATGTTGATACACGAATATCATTTTTAAAATGAGAAGTGAATACTAAATCGATTTTCCCATTACTTATAGTATTGAATTCTCCTAGACATGATACAGAAATGGAATTATCTTTCACTCGTAATCCTAATTTCTTCACACAATCCCTTGAAATAAATGATCTCTGAGATCCAGTGTCACATAAACATCTACACTTCACCAAATTGTTGTTCAGAATTTTGAACTTTTATTAAAGCAGTACACAATAAAATGTGACTGGTTTGATTACTTTTTGCGTTCGAATCATAATGAGAGGCACAAACTGTGGCTGAAACATCCTTAGGACTCGTTAATTCATCTCTTTTAGGGATAGATTGCGTAGGCGGAGATATACTGCTTAACTGAGTTTTATTCTTTGAATTATTTACAATGTGCAAAATACTGTGATGCTTCTTAAGCAATGTTGACATGTATTTAAACTCTTGCATTTTTTGAGCAAGTGCATATTAGATAAACAATTAAAACAGTAACGATTAGATTTTACAAATTCTATCCTTTGCTGAACCGAAAAATTTAGAAATTTCGAACATTTGGCTAAACTATGATGATCTTCTTTAACAATAACCACAACCCAAAGTAGCAACCAGAACATTATTCTTATTTTGAAACACAGATTTAGGTACCTTATTACTTGTTGATTTGCTATTTTGAAGTGTTCTTGCATAGTTTTTTTAGGAATTCAATTAAAGTCGTAAGTTTTTGGAATTCTCATTAAATTTTTAACTGACGTTCCCACCATAATTTTGTAGAAGGGTCTAATTTTTGCAAAATTAAATAAGTCATTAACGTGTCACCAAAATTATCAATGGTTTTTGATTCAATACTTCTAAAGAAGAAATTACTTCATTAATATTGTCAACTAAAATTTAAAATAGCAAATACTGATTCATTTTGAATAGTTGGTAAATTTAGAAAACGTTAATATATGCAAAATTTGTTCTCTCTTATTTGAATATCTTTCGTCTAACAGATTCCATGCTATTTCAAAATTGCAATCCGAAATTTGAATGGTTTGAATAATGCGATATGCTTCACCTTTCAACGAAGCCTTCAAATACTGCAATTTTTTAGCATTAGATAAATTTTGTATTATTTCTTACACAAGCACTGAAAAGATCTTTAAAAGCTATCCATTCTGTAATATTAACCAAAATCGGTAATGTTAACTTGGGTAATTTAATATTGTCAAGAACCTGTTCTGAAATTACACTATTAGAATTATTTTTACTATTTTAGTTTTTTAATATTTTTTCACCTTTAAATTTCCACAAATAAATTTTATCTGTGTACTCCTGAACATTATCTATTTCGTTTTCTAATTCTTTAGTATCTATAATTAAACTTTCGATTTCAGAATCAAGCTTCCTTAACTCAATTTCTTTTTGTTTCAATAATTCGACATATTTCTCTAGTTCTATTAAATTAATTTCATCTGCAGCTAAAATAGTTTCACTTTTCTTTACATAATTACTAACACTCCTGCGTAAAACCGTTCTTTTTGTTTAAAAAGATATAAGTTCACTCATAATTTTCAATTCAAGAACAGAGATTGTTCTTAAATCACTTAACACTATTATTAAAACGAAATCGAAACAGTTTTCTATTCTGTATTACAACATTGTTCTTAAAATCAGTTATAAACGAATTTTTAGTAGAATATAAATATTCAAAATCCACTTACCTCACAAAGTGTAGTAATTTTTCACCAACCATATGCATATATCTGTTGTTACAATGCGCTTAGAACAGTTACTATCTTCCTACTCACCCATACATTTCCGTTGTTACAATGCGCTTAGAACAGTTACTATCTTCACTAGCTCTCCGGCTAGACTTTTGACCAATAATAAGATCTTTCCTTAATATGTTTCACAAACAATAAATACGTAAAACATGGACTGTATTCCTTCACTTTTATTTCATTACACTAATTATAAATAAGATGTCAGCGATGCGAAAAATAATTGATACAAAATGAATGTCACAAACACAATCCTATCAATCAATTATCTTGTTGCCACACATAAAGTTCAAAACTAAAGGAAGAAAAAAAAATTACGCTGTTTGCAACAATAAAATGAAGCAAAAGATACTCACATAAACACATGTAGTTGAGAAATTTGAAGTCCATTTCGTGGTTCTTTGTACGATCCGTCTAGCATTCGTCCGGAATGATAGACATTGGTCAACTGGAGCTGGAACATTGATCAACTAAATGCGCGGTCTGACATTACGCATCCGGGACATCCAAGTCGTTTTTACGAATTCAGACTTTTGACAGGCCGTGATAGCCAACAGTCTTGATGGAGGATTCCTTTGCCTATGTTTCGTGCGCATTTAGACAACCAATGACAGCTGTTGAATAAGTATGCTATACTAATTCATTTCAGATGCAATGACAAAAAATAATGCGAAACCAGAATTTTAATGACCTAGTGTTCAATGCACTTTTATATGTAAAATGTATAACTACGGGTAGGTAAATGATTATGTATATAACAGGCAAACACACAAATAAAGGTAATATTTATTAGAAAGACATGTGGTATGATTTCTGTCCTTGTCTGGAGGAAAGAATCATTCTGAAGGTCACACAATTCCGTCTGTACGGTAAATGTTCTTTAATGCCAGATTTGAGAATGGATTACGAAAGAGTTCAGCACTGATATCTGTTACATCAAATCTGTAAATCTTGACATAAATTCATTCGTGATATTTCGTTTGTCTGAGACACTTGGCTTTCCAGCATTTAAACCTGAAAGACTGAAGAACGGAGAAACTGCTTTTTTATTCTTCGGACTCCAAACGTTTACAATATGGAAACTTTAAAATCATTTCTTCTAAAGCAGCATGAAAACCTTTTAAATTATTCAGAACTCCACCGATGTTATGTTCAAAAGTTCAGCTTTTTAATGTTCAAAAATAAAATGAGATTCCATCTTCACTTGCGCTCGATTAGAGCTCGTAAAGCAGCATTTGGCACGCAGACGGCCTTTTGAACAGGCTTGTACCTCAGAAACTCCCAGTTCATTGGATGAAAATCCTTCGGTGTATACTTCCCTTTGATAAATTCTTAACGTAAGAAATTGTGACTTCAAATACTGAAAAATAAAAATAAAAAAAAAGAAAAAATAAATGTGAAACCTAAAACAGAAGTTATTTTCAAAAGTAAGGAAGTCAGACATTACAAATATTATATAAAGAAATCTAGTTGTAAAATAAGTTCGTGATGCTATAAAATTTGATTAATGCGGTATAAAATAAGTAAAATAAGTTGGTGATGCTATAAAATTTGATTAGTGGGGTATAAAATAAGTAAAATAAGTAAGTGAGGCTATAAAATTTGATTAGTGTGGTATAAAATAAGTAAAATAAGTTGGTGAGGCTATAAAATTTGATTAGTGGGGTATAAAATAAGTAAAATAAGTTCGTGAGGCTATAAAATTTGATTAGTTGGGTATAAAATAAGTAAAATAAATTGGTGATGTTATAAAATTTTATTAGTGGGGTATAAAATTAGTTGAAGATATTATTAATGCAATTTAGTGGATTAAGAAATTCTGAATAAGATGAAGTTAATAATCAGACACTGATCTATTTTACGGATAAAAGTACACATTCATAAATTTAAAAAATGGAAATTTCATTATTAACTTAATAATTTGCAGTGCATCTAAGAATAAATTTAAACATCTCTTAGTCCATTAATTTATCAAAATCAAGTTTACTTTCAGAAAAGATAATGAATAAATTTCAAGGGTATGAGAACAACTTGCGTTATATATGATATGTCGAGTATTATATTATATATATATATATATATATATATATATCGAGTTTATAAGGGATCTTTTTCTTAAATTTCATCCACCAGCAACTGGTCATTAAACATGCTGAACACTGGCAGTTTCTTTCGAACTTAAATTCTAGGTATAAAGGTTCTAACATATTTCTTTGCTCCTGACCAAAAGGGACATGTATTTCTTCTCGAAATCGAAATTGTTCTTAAATAATTCTACGCCAAACGCCTAAACAAGCAATAACAAAAAAGTTATTGCTTTGTTTACTTTAGGCTTTACTTTGGAGTGTTTCTCTTCTGTTTTGTTTTAGCCTATGTTTAATATGAAACAATTTCTTTTTTGAAAACCCTTCGCGAAGGTATTTATTTGAAGGAGGCAGGTATTTTACCGCGATCGAATACCTGACATAACCTAACCTTCATTACCAATGACCGAGTGGTTAAGACAGTTGAATTCTAGTAGTTCGAGCCGACTTCGAATCTTGGCGAACGGCTTGACAACAGAGCATTTTCATAGTTTTCTTCATACGTAACGTAAACCGGCCTCAGTATTTTTAGAAATTCATCCACGAAGGCATCCCTCCCTCTAAGCGTTAATGTCTTGTGTGCTTTGTCATAATATTATTTAAAAAAATAAGCCAACCCTAGTCTTAGGGGTGTTCCATAGATATAAAAGTATATTTAATTGGGTAGAAAATCATCCACGGAAAAGAATTTCAGCTTTGTTATGTCTAAGAAGTATCGAACACATTTTTCCATATTTTGAATATTTCAGGTTATCGTTTCAACTATCACTGTTAAAATATGTGATGATTTCTTACTCTTCACAAAGATATCAGCAGTTTAGATCACCTAATAGAGTGCGCAGCCGCTTTACATTCTACTATAATTTGCTACGTTTGTAAGGTATTTCTCCCGCTTTCTTAGGATGCCTTCGTGGTGTAATGGTCAGCAACTCGGCGAGTATTCGAGAAGTTCGAGGTTCGAGTCCCAGCGAGGGCAGTGCTCATTTTTCATGTCTCCTCTTTCAAAAAATACCTATTGTCTCTACAAGTTTATGATTTTTAATTTTACTTATGAGTTATTAAATTTACTTAATTGCTTTCATTAAAGCAATTATTAGTATAATAAATCATTTTTTGATAGATTCCTTGTTCTTATTTATTAATCTATTAATAATCGATATCAATTACAATGCTTTATAAAGTAAACCAGTACGTAAATCAGTAGGAAACATTTCTACTATTTATGAATAAATGCAACCAGTTGTATTTGTTTTTATCATGTTTATGAGACTTTTTATGATACACTACCAGTTTAACATTTTATTTGTATGAGATGGTGGAAAAGAGTCTGAACGGTATGAATTGTGACATTTTTGTAATTAAATTAATTTAAAAGTAAATAGAAAATACGTATACGATTGTTTGGAATAATATTCCTAAATTCTGTTTAAATATTTAATCTTTTTATTACGTTTATTATTCTTTTCTAACTGTACATTTCGAATTTGTTATATTAGCAAGAGAATTTTGTTACACTTCTTGCTTATGCTTTGCAAATAAGTAGTATTACCTTATACAGAATAAAATAATCGAGAGATAAGGTTGCTTCTGCTTTACCAGCTAAATATTTTATGAAATGTATTCAATGAATCGTGTTGAGAGATAAAGTCGCCCGAGAGATAAAGAAAGAATCAGTTATCATTAATTTATATGAGACAAATTTAGGAGAATTCTCAGATCTCAAAAATTACCTTCATTAAAACATTTGAACAACAAAAAACTGTTAAGTACAAAATAAGGGAAAAAGAAGTAGATTAAAAAATTGAAAACATGGAAACTAAATAAAATAAGAAATTAAAGAATAACAAAATTAACAGAAGGGAAAGTCGAGAAGAAATCAAAAATACATAGATATAGATATGTTATATAGAAATGAACTAAAGGCAAGCGGAAACTTGAGTTTAAAAGGTAAGCAGAATAAAGGACTTCATAGGAATAAAAATAGCAAGAATGAACCAGCATGAAAAGAATGATCTCATCTAATCGTTATCTCGTGAAACAAGGGATACATTGTCCATATTGTAGCATATGGAAGCAGACTTTAATAAAAATAATATTCTACTTATAAATATTATACCTTGTTACATAGCTTTTGTGTATTCTTTTCCAACTTAACCACGCCCCAGTATATGTAAGTATTATTGCAAACACGGAAGTTCTATGAACTTTTAATTCTTAGCGACGCGACGCCTTGTAGTAATCCCCACTTTACGTGTGTAAAACTACTTCAGATCTTTACATGAATATTCATAGTGGAGAGAATTTCACCGAGATAATGACTAGTTTCCAAGACTGTTTTCGCTTTGTGACTGGCATACAGACAAGCCCTTACCGTAGCTACATACATGCACTAGACTTCGATGGAATCCGATATTTTCTCGACGGAAAATCTCAGCATTTTAAGATTTACTTCTTTTTAGTGGGGAGTGGTCAGCAGTTTTGCATTTGATTACTGTGCATTATAATCTGAACAGAAACCTTAACAAAAGAATTCCGTCAAACGTGGGGTTTATGCCGTCACGCCTTGACCTTAGGGTGTAAACACCCACACCCACGTCGCATACCGTGCCATGAGTTGCCCGAGGCTCTGACCTTTCTTACGTCAGTAATTGCTCCAAAAAGATAAAAGGTGATTTGTTGGCTCTCGGAATAGACAGTATTGATACGGAATGCTTTATTGCTGAGCTCGTTAGTATCTGACATGGAAATGGAGGGACCCTCGCTGTGTTTCTTCAGAAGTCAGAAGGTTAACTGTTCATAAAACTGAGCCTAGTTAACTAAAACTGCGGCGTTATTTATGACTTCACAAAAGCTCTCAAATCCTGAGAGACTAATGGAATATTTTGTTGTACCAATGCAAAGGATCGGCTGAATGTAAATATATTCGGGTCTTCATAACCGTGAGTAATACATTCGGAATTTTACTGATGTTCATTGATACTGCTGGTGATACTTCACGTTATGTACAATGCGATCCTCATAACATATATGTATCATTTCCTCGTGTATTCCCCACTTTTCTAACACATTTTATCGTCCGAAAATCGACAGTGGAAAAATTTTCGAATAATTCAATTTCTACAGGAAGCGGTTACAGTAAGAGCATAACAAATGAAAAATAGTTGCAGCTAAACTGCAGATAACTATAACGATATTATTTCATTAATTATTTTAACCTACATTCCGAATAAGAGTACACAGTAATATTAACATTAGAGTATCTAATGAAATATCTTCATTTCTACTTGTATCTTGACTATCACCCGTTCTTAATTTTATCCACAGCTACTCCCTAGGCCTCAAATAATCCATCAGTAATTAGGAAAAGTGAGTGTGCAGCTGAGTCAGCGAAATCGTAGACTAGATGACAATTCGCTTTTACTTCAATGCGATGCATTGTTTCTGGTCATAGATTGCTATAGATTTCAACAGGTCTTAAAATTTCGGTCGTGTTGAATGTCCTTAGTCATGAAGAATTCATTGACTTGATCTGAATTAGGTTCAAGTGACGATGATTAGCAACGACAATAAGAAAATTTACTCTTCAGGTATTATATAGCGTTGAAAGACACTGAATAGATGGTTTTAGTATCTAAAAGTAGGTGTAACAAATATAATAGCAACAATTTTAAATACTTAAAACCGAAATTATAAAACTTGTGTTTTCTTATGTATGCATTTACCTAGACTTCCTTTTTTTTATCTAAATATGTTTTAATATATATTATTAATTTCGCGACTAATGTAATATACAATGGACATGTATTCGAAGATACTAAATGCGCAAAATCCTTGTATTAAAATTAAAACTTTCTAGTTATAAATATATAAATTATTATCTAAAAACAATTTCTCTTTCCTGCGAGACGTAGTTCTTACATTCAAATGGTCTCACCAGCGTCCGAGCGGCAACGTCGCTGAACGTAACGTCGATATGAGGCATATAACGTAGATATGAGGCAGTTTTCTTTAGAAAGTCCTCAACCAAGGTTTTTCTTCCCTTAGGCGTACAGCCCTCGTTTGCTTTGCCGTAATCAAATAAATTAAACCAAATCAAACCAGTAAAATTAGTTAGTTTAATCGCTTGTTTATTGTTTATTTACAACGAAGGAACTAACCGAAATCTTTAAGTATATAATCATAGCTTTGGCAAAATTAGAATCGATGATCCAAACACCAAACGTTTCCAGAATGTTAGCAGACTTATCCGTTCTGACATACTTTTCTGATATCCGTT